TGCTTATGTTACTGTGTTTGGGGTCTCCTTTTTGCAGGCTGCAGGTTTGTAGTTCCAGTTGTTTTTGGTGTCTGTCCCCAGTGGCTAAAGTTGGTTCAGTGGGTTGTGTAGGCTTCCTGATGGAGGGGACTAGTGCCTGTGTTCTGGTGGATGAGGCTGGATCTTGTCTTTCTGGTGGGCAGGTCCACGTCTGGTGGTGTGTTTTGGGGTGTCTGCGGACTTATCATGATTTTAAGCAGCCTCTCTGCTAATGGGTGGGGTTGTGTTCCTGTCCTGCTAGTTGTTTGGCATAGGGTGTCCAGCACTGTAGCTTTCTGGTCGTTGGGTGAAGCTGGATCTTGGTGTTGAGATGGAGATCTCTGGGAGATTTTCGCCGTTTGATATTATGTGGTGCTGGGAGGTCTCTTGTGGACCAGTGTGCTGAAGTTGGCTCTCGCACCTCAAAGGCACAGCACTGACTCCTGGCTGCAGCACCAAGAGCGTTTCATCCACACGGCCACCAAACGCCTGTAGTACAGAGAATTTGGATGCATCCAAATCATTGCCACTTACTATTCGAGCCTGCTCTTCGTCCTGGAGCTGCCATGTCCTCTGCAGATCGCCGCTGTGACCACACGGCTGCTCACGGGTCCCTCCTCTCCTCCGGGCTCCCCTTCCTCTCCCCCGACACCTCCCCCACCTCTGGGAGCCCGTGCTCACTGCTGCTCCCTCCTCCAACCAGGTAAACTTTTATTAGGGGTTTGGAATCTAGAGACTAAATCTGCCACTTACTGCCTGGTACTTTTGGATGAGTCCCTTATGCCTTCTGAGTCCAATTCCCTTTTCTTAATGTTTAAGTAATAACCCCCTGGTTGGGCTACTTCCATAGGATTATTGGTGAATGTCAAGGAGATACTATATATGAAAATATTTTGAAATGTGAAAAAAAGTTTCATAGATAAAGATTGTTCAGCTTATTGCCATGTCTTTTTTGGGTAGAATAATAATTCTAACTCATATCGCTTAGATCAAAAATAAAATACACCCATTCTGAGGACAGGCACCTGTCTCTGAAAATGATTATATCAGTTCTACCGAAATGTGAAGAACGTTTTAAAATTAATGTATAAGGCACTGGAGAAAAGGCCATGCCAAGGCAGCACCTGGCACAACTTCCCAATAGTTACCTTCATGTAACTATGAGTCTAGATGCGTAGGTTATTTTGTCTTTAGACACTTGTGGGAATACTTTCAGTCAGATCAAGGAGGATTATCTCTGCCTGTTCTGGCCCTTTCTAAGTTGACAGGTAGAAAATTGATCATCAGAAAAGAGCACACAAAACTCTAATACTAAAAAAAACAAAAACAAATAAAAACCAAAAAAACCTCTAATACTATAGATTGCGACTGGATGATAAGATTTCCTGGGCAGTCACATGAACCCATTCGACATGATTCCCATTTTTCATGGCAGTTCATAATGATCTTCCTTCCTTGGGGCTCCCTAGAGGGGAGAATCGACCAGGTATGCTCTTAGGTTCAGGAGGGTGGCTTCCTTTATCTTGAATTTCACAGGACACTGTGGAATGTATGACTTTTAGGTCCCTCAAAGACTCCCTTCACTGGGCACATCTGGCCAAGTGGGTAGCACATTTGCCTCACAAAAACTGATCCTTTATTCTTGGCTTTTTTTTTTTTTATTCACTAAACACTAATTAAACACCTGTTATGCACTGTGTTAGCTACCTAGCTAGTATGGATGTAAGATTAACGAGACCCAGTCTGCATTTCAGCAATTCACAATCTAGTGAAGGAGACAATTATATAGGCAACGGTGACTGTACAACATGTTAGAGATGCCCAGGAAGTGCAATGAGATATCCTGGCAGTTTAGAACAGGGGAGCCTCACTGTCTCTAGACGTCAGGGAAAGCTCCCAAGAGGAGATAAAGTGCCAGTTGGATCTTAAGGATGATTCAATGGCTGTCAGTACAGAGCAAGAGAATTGGGGGCAGAGGAATAGCATATGTAAAGACCTAGAGGCTGGGAAGACTTCCTGTTATGAAATTTGTATAACTGGGGGTCATGATGCTCTGCAGAGCCCCAGTTATAGGGGCATGTAGGACCAGCTCTGTGCCAGGGAGGCCTGGGTCTCCCTCAGAACCAATTCCTGTCATCCCAGGGGGTTAACCAAAGGCGTAACATATGTACATTACACGTTGGGTTGGAGCCCAGAGAGCCCTTCCAGTTTTCCCCCACTTCTTCCTTCTCTGCTCCTCTGCCTTCTCCCCGACCTCCCACTCCACCTCACAAGGTTCTGGTTCCAACCAGCTGCTACCATGGTTGGTCAAGCCCAGGACACTCTGTGCCCCTTTGGTCTGAGGTCACTGCATCTTGGGGAAATAACAGTGGATCTTTGCATTCCTCAGAACGAGGCACCTACCAGACAGATTCACCTATCTCTTGCTAATACCCATTACCCTGAAAGCCTTAATTGTGATGCATGATTATGTTAAAAGACTTTCTTCCCATAAGGGAAGAGGACAGGAAGGAACAAAGCAGGTGAACAGTACAAAGAGCCACGTGTGTTCACTTTGCTTTCTGAGGAGAGGAAAAATCTCAGAGAGCAGCCATGTCTGTGTTTGCATCGTTCTCTGCTTTCTCCCCAATCTGCTGTTTTCACGGAAGAAAAACAAGTCCTGCCCTTTGAGAGGGTGAAACGAGTTCAAGAGCTTTTTATCCAGCTCTCCCTTGATGACAACCTAATGGTTTTCATTAGATTTGTTTTCCAGGTTATATAAACCAACAGCCTTGAAAGCTGACTTGGGGTAAGCAGAATAAACCAAAGAAAAAGCCAATTAGAATGTACTGGTGAGACATTTAGTCTTAGAAAAGAAAATGTGCAGTCGTTCTTTGTAATGGAGATTTGCTGATGTGATTCGAAAATCCCGGAAGCTAGCACTGCATTTTGAAATGGTGCATTGCTTGACATGAGGTTTAAGTTCATTTTGGAGCCAGTTCTTCACCTACCACCCCAGGTTCTTTCTGAAATGTCCTCGAAGCCTTCTTAAGAGCAGAAAGATGCTTTCCCATTTCCTCCCCGCAAACCATTACATTTTCTTTCAGTGTAACACTTTATACAGTGATCAAATTATGTGGTGACCATAACTGAAAAATATCTGTATACAAAATTCTTCCTACTCTGGCAGTGTTTATGGCAGGGACTGTTATGAAATAGCATGTAAAACATGGACCAGCTTAAAATGATTTTGCTTTTTAAAAATAGGCTCTTCACTATGGAGAACAGTATGGAGGTTCCTTAAAAAACTAAAAATAGAATTACCATACGACCCAGCAATACCACTACTGGGCATATACCCTGAGAAAACCATAATTCAAAAAGACTCATGTACCAAAATGTTCATTGCAGCCCTATTTACAATAGCCAGGACATGGAAGCAACCTAAGTGTCCATCAACAGCTGAATGGTTAAAGAAGATGTGGCACATATCTACAATGGAATATTACTCAGCCATAAAAAGAAACGAAATTGAGTTATTTGTACTAAGGTGGATGGACCTAGAGTCTGTCATACAGAGTGAAGTAAGTCAGTAAGAGAAAAACAAATACCATATGCTAACACATATATATGGAATCTAAGAAAAAAAAATGTCATGAAGAACCTAGGGATAAGATGGGAATAAAGACACAGACCTACTAGAGAATGGACTTGAGCATATGGGGAGGGGGAAGGGTAAGCTGTGACAAAGTGGGAGAGTGGCATGGACATATATACACTACCAAACGTAAAATATATAGCTAGTGGGAAGCAGCCGCATAGCACAGGGAGATCAGCTAGGTGGTTTGTGACCACCTAGAGGGGTGGGATAGGGAGGGTGGGAGGGAGGGAGACACAAGAGGGAAGAGATATGGGAACATATGTATATGTATAACTGATTCACTTTGTTATAAAGCAGAAACTAACACACCATTCATTGTAAAGCAATTATACTCCAAAAAAGATGTTAAAAAAGAAAATAAAAGGTTGGCAACCTCCCCCCAAAAACCCCCAAAAAACAAAAAAATCAAAAAAAATAAAAAATAAAAACAGGCTGTTGATTAATGAAACCTGAAGGTATTTTGCAGAGACATCACTGCACATGTGCAACACGGAAACCTTTGTCTCCAGGATGACCCCGGAACCAAGGATCTTCAGTCTACGGAATTCAAAGAATAGAAATGTTGCCACCAGAGCTCTTTACAAAGCAAGAACTCCTTCAGTGAGGAAAATCCAGCTTCCAGCAGCAAGAGTAGCTTGATTACCATATATGGACTGATTCAAGATGAGCCAGTCAGCTTCCAGGTTTGAAATTCTCCTAATTCCTTAAATTTCGCCCTGAACCTTGGATCTGGGAGACAGATTTGAGCTCTGCAGGTCGACCTCGCAATAAAGCTTTCTTTTCTCAAAAGCCGATGCCAGAGTATTGGCTTCTGTGTGCCTTGGGCAGTGAGCTTTCGTTTGGTAACACTAATCTCTGGCACCCAGTAGGTTTCTAATTGCACCACTATGCCTGGCACATAGCAAGTGTTCAATAAATATTTGTTAAATAAATCTTATATAAAATCCCTGCTCAAAAACTTCCAATGGCTTCCTATAAACTTTCAACTTCTGGCTGACTTACATTTTAAGAATCATTCTGTGTAGTTTGGAGCTGAGAGTTTCGAAGAATATCTTTGGGTCTGTGACCCAAACTATGACCCAAGTTTCTTTATTACCTCTAAATACTTAGAGTATCTACTAAGAGTAGGAAGGCTTCCCCACCTCATGTCCTCATTAGCTTTTCCTTGAACCATTATTATGGTTTCTTATCTGGTCTCCTTGCCTCCTGACTCCCCCTCATTTTAATCATTCATAATCACTCTCTCCTGACTTCAGGACTAGCCACATAGTTTGAAGGTCCCAGTGCAAGATGAAAAATGCAGGCCCCCTTATTCAAAATTACTTAAACTTTCAACACCTTGGCAGCAGGACATCACACCAAGCACAGGGCCCTTCTGTGCTCGGGGTCCTCGGTGACGGCAGAGTCTGCATATTCATGAAGCTGATCCTGCCTGAGTTCAACCCTTTTAAGGCACGGTTTCAGTCATGGTAAGTCCTTTTTCAAAAACCTTCAGAGGTTCCACGTTGTCTAGAGCTGTAATTATAGGGACTTTTATCAATTTTGATCCCAACCAACCTTCCCAGCTTTATCTCCTAGAATTCCTCTTTATACACCCTATACTTCTTCCAAATGGAACTACTTAATCTTGCCCAGAAGGTATCCCTTCCTACCTCTGTGCCTTATTTGTACTGCTCCCATTACTTAGAATGACGAGCCTCGTTTCCCATCATCACAAATCCTATGTGAAATCTTTCCTGATCCTTTCATTAAAAAAATTTTTTTTTATTGAAGTATAGTTGATTTGCAATATTGTGTTAAGCTTCAGGTGGGATCCTTTCATCTTTTTTTTTTTTTTTTTGCGGTATGCGGGCCTCTCACTGTTGGGGCCTCTCCCGTTGCGGAGCACAGGCTCCAGACGCGCAGGCTCAGAGGCCATGGCTCACGGGCCCAGCCGCTCCGCGGCATGTGGGATCTTCCCAGACCGGGGCATGAACCCGTGTCCCCTGCATCAGCAGGCGGACTCTCAACCACTGCGCCACCTGGGAAGCCCCCTTTCATTTTTAAGAACTCTTTTCTCCCTCTGAATTTCTAATACCATTTTAGCAGAGTCCTCTTTTGTCCTTTCACTCTTTAATAAGCTCCAAGACTGTCTCTATGCTGTGGAAGGTACAAAGATGAACGCTATTTATTCTACTGATACTACTGTTAGGCTCTTTTATGCTCTTGAGGGCGGGCTTTGCCTAGACTCACCTGTGTCTGGCCTTTTGTAGAGAAGGTGCTCATATACTTGTTGAATAAACCAGTGGTTACCAGTTGACTTTCAAGAAAAGGACATACGTTCATTTGTCAGGCAAATATTTATTGAGTACCTACTATATGTTAGACTCTCTTCTAAGAGCAGGTAATACAAGTATGAAAAAAGCAGACTGGTGCCTGCTTGCATGGAGATTATATTTTTATGGGTGGGAGGCAGGGAACAAACAAACAAACAAACCAGAAAATAGCTGTTGCTAAGTGCGTTGGATGTCATTGTGAAAGGGTTGTGACGCATAGCATTTTCATTATCTGTCAGTCCTAAATATTCACTAACATCCATCAGGGATGATTCTTTGACTCACAGGTAATTTAGAAGTGTGCTTCTAAGCTTCCAAACAGGAAACTTTAACAATTACCTCTTAAGTTTTTTCATTGTTCTGTGGCCAGATCATATACTTTGTATGACACTGATGCTTTGAAATATGACTTGCTTTATGGACTAGGAGATGGTTGGTTTTCACCACTGTTCCATGTGTGCTTGAAGTACATACTGTTTTCAGATACACTGTTCTGTGTGTCCAACAGATCAAGCTTATAAATATTCTCATCCAAACCTTCCATATCCATCTGATTTTGTCTGCCTGGTTTATCAATTCCTAACAAAGATGTTAAAAATCTCCCACTTTGGTTTGTGAATTGATTTCTCCTTGTAGTTGTGTCAGTTTCTGCTAGACAGATTTGAAGCTATGTTCCTGGTGCACAACTGTTCTACCTTCCAGGTGATATGAACCCCTTTTCGTTACGTGGTGATAGTCCTCCTTAGCAGTGCCTTTTATCTTAAAGTCGACTTCATCTTATAATACAGCCAACACCAGCTTCCTTTTGGTTACCATCTGTTTCTTAACTGGAGTTTAGTCAAAAGAATTTTATTAACAGTTTTTTGGAAATATCCACATACCATAAAATTCATCTGAGTTTTGTCGACGTGCATTCGTTCTGGCTGCCTGTGGGCTTGGACTTAACTCTGCCTCTGTGTATCCTCCATTCACCCGGCTTAGTTTTAGGTTTTACTTTCTCTCCCACCTCCTCCTAGACTGACACTGTCCACCCCACTCCATTTTTCTTCTTTCTAGTTTAGTAACACTGTTTCTATCTTCTAGCGGTTATTTTAGGATTTTTAATGTGCATGTTTATCTTAAATGATAATCTTTATCCATCTTACAAATAAATTTAGAATAATTCAATTCCAGGCAGCCTGAGGATGGCCCCGCCTTTCCCCAGTTACCAAGCCTGTCAATTCTGCCTTCAGCTTTGGCTACAGGAGTTGGGTTTTTGTCCTTTCCAAGAGACTTTGGGGCTGACACAGCAGCCACACAGGCCATTCCCTTCCTGCTCCTGTGAACTCGGGAGAGGAGGAGGGGGCCAGTGAAGACCCAGCCCCTCCCCATGCCACTCCCTCCTCACCACTCCCTCGTCCCCCACCCCGGAATTTTCAGGGAGCGTTCTGGCCTCACCAGAGGGGGCTGGAGCCCGGATCTGGGTCACCCCTTACCCGGATCTGAAGGCTCTTCTGCACGTGCGCCCTGAGCCCCGAAAAGTCGGTGAGGGCAGCGGGGCAGCGTCCGATTTCCGCTCGGGCCCTCAGGCCAGGCCGGCCGGCTCCAGGTCCTGGGGCAGGATGCGGCCCCTCTTCCGGGTCTTCTCCAGGCGCCGCTCAGCTTCGGCCTCCTTGTTCTCGCGCAAGTTCTGCCGCCACGGGTCCTGCAGTTGTTGCGTCTTGTCCGCCACACGCGCAGTGCGGTTCTCCCACGCGCGCTGGCGCTGCGCCCCTCTCTTCTTGCGCTTCGGGGCCTCCTTCAGCAGGTGCTCCTCGTCGCGGATCTTCACGCCCTCGGCCTTGTCCAGCAGGTTCGCACACTGCATCTTTGCCTCGAGCTCCTGGGCCTGGCCCGCGTCCGCGGCCCGCAGCTCCTCCAGCCGGGCCTGCCGCGCCCGCAGGCGCTTCAGCTGCTACCTAGGTCCTGCCTGTTAGCGGCGTCAGGTTGCCCTTCCCTTTCTGCCTCTTCTTCCTGCGCTGAACCTTGCGGGACGGCTTCTCTTCGGTTACCTCCACCTTGTTGAAGAGCAGCCCCGGCCGGCCCTGCGCCTCCTCGAGGGGCGCCTCAGGACCGCTCAGCGTGCTCAGCGCCCTCGGAGGCCTCGGGCGCCTTCCGCTTTGCCCTCAGCTCCTTCTGGTGCTGCTTCTCCTTCCGGTCGCGCTCCTGCTTCCTACACTTCCTCCGACGTCTTTTCTCTAAAACGGCGGGAGACAGCTCCTTGGCGCCGTCCTGGCCCCGCGCTTCCAGTATCTTTTCAGGCAGGCGCTGCCGCAGGACGTCCAAGGCAGGTAAAGAGGCTCTTTGTCCAGGCCGTGCGCAGGGGCCCCGGTGGAGCTGGAGGCCTCCTCCTCCTCGGCTGTCACCGGCTTCCTGACCTGAGACTCTCCGCAGGGCCCCGGGCCTTGGCCTCGGCAGCCTTCTCTTCCCGTTCCTGGGATTTCTTCAGTGCTTTCTTCCTCTCCTTTTTTAGGAGCCCAGCAGCTTCTAAGACTCGAGTTTTGCCAGCCGACTTGCGCTTCTGCAGCTCGGGCCTGGGCTTGGAGCAGATCTTCTTGGCCAGGCTCTGCAGGTAAGCATACTTCGTGAGCAGAGGAGCCATGGCTGGAGGCTCGGCGGTCGGGCGGGGCTCGCTTGGGGTCCTACTCGGGGGAGGAGGGCCGGGGTTCAGCATCCCGGCGGCATCCGGCAGTCCCCGGCCCGCGCTACCCTCACCTACCCGGCTGCGCTCACCAGAAACACTCCATGGATTAGGGTGGTAGTGGCTTGATCACCTGGGCGGTTGTTGGTGCCGTTCTTGAGGACGGAAGAGATTAGGGGAGGTGTAAGTTCGGAGAGTTGTTGCAGGGAAATTCTGCCCAATGGAACGGGAAAATCTGCATAGGCTTTGGTATGGTACACAGTAAAGGATTAACCTTTCCCCCAGAGAGGCCTGGCCTTTGCCCTTGGCTTCTGGGAGGTAACCTCTAAGATCTTGGAATGTCCTGCCTGATTTGTTTAACCTGGGGACCTTTGGCCATGCCAGCTAGTCTGTGCTAGCAGTGTGATTTATAGTAGGGATCCTTGGGTCATGAGGCGTGAACTTGACCTCTGGAGACTAAGGTTGTCCACATGGGCAGTCAGCCATATCTATGTGACTGAGCCCCAATAAAACCTCTAGACACCAAGGTTCACGTGAGCTTGTCTGGATGGCAGTAGCTCATGCATATTGTCACACATTGCACCTGTGAGAAATAAACAGTGTCTGCATAACTCCACTAGAGTCCTGTGCTAGAGGTCCCATGCTTGGGACTCTCCTGGACCCTTCTCTGTGTACCTCTTCCCTTAGCTGCTTTTAATCTGTGTCCCTGTGCTGTCATAAACTGTAACTGTGAGTACAGCAGCTTCCAGTGGGTTTTGTGAGTCCTTCTAGCAAATTATCAAACTCGAGGGTGATCTTGGGGGCTCTCTAACTTGCAGTTGATAACAGAGGTAAAGATGGCCTTGTAGACCCCCGAACTTTGCATTGAGGGAATATACAAATTCAACAAAGAGAAGCCTTGTGTGACTCAGGTCTTATACTCTGTTGGTCAGCTGAGTCCAGGGAGACCTGAAGAGTAAAAAGAGAATAAAGAACCTGTTGTCTCTTGACCAGTGTCTCAGAGGATTTCTCTTTTCCTTTATGCCAGTGTCACATTAAGAATCATCTACACGATTCTGGTCAGAGAGCTGCCTATAAGTGTAACCTGGAAAGACAGCAAAGAAAGGCAGTGCCTTTAGTCATTGTGCCTGATGAAATCTGTGGGAAGAAATAACACTCCTGATATGTCAACCACAAGTATGGTTTTCATCTAATTGAATCCATTCATCACTACATTAAAAAAGAAGCTGATGCAATTGAAAAGTGAGTTCAGTTAGTCCATCCTCCCACAAAAACAGTCGCGCGCACGCACACGTGTGTGTGTGTCTGTGTGTGTGTTGATGTGAATCTCATCTTAAAGAAAATATAAATTCTGGCTTCAGGCAAATGAAGGTTTATTTCATATGGCAGCCTCCTTGCATACTGCTGATGGTTACAGCATGTGGAATTACTTACAACTAAAGCCTTTGATTGAAAATGTGGACGTAGCACTCAATTTATCACCCTCTTCTCTGAGATTTAAAAGCTCTTTAGAACACAAGCTAATACCAGTTTCTGTTTTAACAAATCAGTATCTTTTCATGGACTAAATGACTTTCCCATTCGGCACCTCTCAGAGCACGCCCCTCCCCCCACCCCTCCACCCCGCTGGCTGCAGAGGTTGTCATATATGTGCTGGATACAGGCAGCTTGGAAGAATGTGTCTTATTTCACAGACTCCAGCAAGGCAAGGGCAGCAAGAGTAATTGTTCAGAACTGTGAAAACCAGACACTCTTTCCTCGATATCTCAGGTTGGATCAGGATTGCATTAGTTATCTATTGCTGTGTAACAAATTACCCCAAATTTAGTGGCTTAAAATGATATACATTTATTAACTCACAGTTTCTGTGGTCAGGAGTTTGGCATAGCTTAGCTGATTCCTTTGTTTTAGGGTTCCTTGCAAGACTGAAATAAAGTTGCCAGCTGAAGCTGTGGTCTCATATGAAAGCTCAGCTGGGAAGGATCCACTTCTAAGCTCATCCAGGTTGCTGGCAGAATTCAGTTCCCAGAGGACTGTTTGACTGAGGGTTGCAGGTCCTTCCTAGCTATTGGCTGGAGATTGCTCTCCAATCTTTGCCATGTGGACCTCTCCAGCGTGGCCACTTTTTTCATCAAAGTATGCAAGCAGAGAAAGCAATATGGAAAATCTAGCAAGACAGAGATTATAACATAATCATGGAGGTGACATCCCATCACTTCTGCTGTATTCTGTTGGCCTTCTCACTCTCAAGGGGAGGGGATTACACGGAGGGTGAATACCAGGAGGTGAACACTGGGAGCTATCATAGTGTCAGTCCACCAGCAGGACAGGGTCCCTGGTTGAGCGAGTCACAGTAACACCCTCCTATAGAGAATGTGCTGCATGTTTCTGAGTTTCAAAAATATTTGTGGATAGGTTCAGCAGGCAAATTGTATCTTTGAAGAAACTGTGATGTCTTGGTGGCAAATTTATGTCTTTCTTCTGGCTAATTTTCTCATTTTTCCCATGAAATGTTGTTGTCCATTCTCTCCAAAGAATCTGTTTTCTTTCATTCCTCCTTTTATTATAACCTAATAAATGCCTGGTCAAATTAGAACCTGGAAAGAGCTCAGGGTCCTTGAGGCTGGGCAGAATAGCCTAGAACTTAGCAGGTGGGCAGTAATGTGTTGGCTCAAGGCAGCTTTCTGACCTTGGCTTTTCTCAGTTTTACTATTTCTCTTTTATGTTTATGAGGCTCTGAATCAGGCACCCACACAGCTCCTCCAGAGCTGCTTCCTAGCAGTGTCTTCATGACAAAGCATTTCCAGGGAATTCCATGCTTTACTCTCCGGAGTTTTAAAGCCTATTGAATCAGTTCCCACCAGTGTTCCTTGTAGACATTAGTACAAGTTACAGATGACATTCTGACTGTAGACCAATATGAAGCACCCACGTGTCTTTTTCAAGTGGGCAATAATCTCAGGGATTAGGAAATTGTTGTTGCTATTGTTGTTTTCGGTCACCAAAAAGTATGAAACAAATTCATCCAGTCACTCATTCACATGTTGACCTATACTCGTTCGAGAACTGTCATTGACTGTTGGTATTGAGAATGACAAGATGCAAAAGGCAGTCACTACCTTTATTAATCCTCGCTCTTTCCCTTCTTGGCTTTCTTCTTAGCATCCACAAAGGTGTTTGCATGCTGCTCTAGCCTCTCCTAGAGACAGAAAACGTTTTATCTCCAATGCTTGTTAGGGTCCCAGCAGAACTACTATTTCCTAGGTCTGAACACAAAGAGTCAAGGGCAATTCTTAGGCCCAATTAAATCAGCAGCTCCTTCTTCATGTTCTTCTGGGGACCCAGGGGCTATTCAGAGCCTGCCTGCATAGAGCTGGACCCAAGAGTATGCAAGCTTCCTGTTCTCGTAACATGCTTGGGGGTGGTGGACAGAAAAGGGGAGGAGGTGGGGGGATGCTAGGTATCTGAAGTCTAGAGAAGATGGTTAGAGTCTTTTAAAAGATGAGATCAGCAAACCTCTGAGCCTGTGGTGAGGCCTAGGGGTAGTTTTCAAACAAGTTAGTGCATGCTAGAATCACCCGTGGAAATCTTTTTTGATACAAATTCTATTTGCAGATATTTTGATCCAGGAGAGGTCAAAACATGGCCTAGGAATCTGCATTTACACTTAGCATTCCTCACATTACAGATGCTGAAGGTCTAAAAAGCACCGTTTAGAAACAGTGAGACGTTAGCAAAATAGGTAGATCACATGTAAACCATAAGAAGGAAAATGCAGAGAATGAATTTACTATTTGTTTTTCCCTTCATAGATTTCAGATATATAATCACAAACACAATACCACCTACTTGTTATTTTTGACCAGAGGTGGAATGGTTGCAATGCTTATTAATGAGGGAAAACTGAAAGCTGTAATTAAACCAACTGGCTACTTAATTCGGTCATTCATCTCCTCCATCAAAGGAGCATTCATTCATTTCCTTTCTTTTCTTTGATTCAAGAACATAGTCACCTATGCTTTATGAATGAAAGTCAGCAGCCTTTCATAGCTAGACAAGGCCAGCTTGGGACAGCCAGACAACGTCTCCTCTATATTTATGCCTTTAAATCACACCCTGAGTAGCCACTGTTGTTCTCTCTTGAGGAAAACATACCGAAGTTTGGAATTACAGAGACTCAGAGGGGGAAGTCTATGATCTGCTTAGGAAAAAAGAGCAAGATACAAGATAAGAATATAATATAATTACTATAATATAACATCCATCTATATGTACATAGATATGTAATATTTTTATGATGCAAAATTTTAATGATTTTTATGAAATACTGTGCTGCAATATTTTTATGAGGAAAAAGAGGTGAAGATAGACTCTACCCTGTTAATATTTTTTCCCCCTTTGGGGAATTGGAGATGAGATTGGTGTGGGAAATTATGAACTTAATTTTTTATATCTGTGTAGCATTCTACCTGTTAACAGTGAACCTATAATTCTTTGGTATAAAAATTAAAGAATATTACAGTATGTAATAAGTGCAAGGAAATTCCAGCTTTCAGGACCAGAGTCTCTGGTATTTTACAGTTAAAGGAAGAGGCTAGGTATGGAGGTAGATGGACTCCAACTGGCCTCCCATCAAATGCCTGTGCTCAATGTCTTTTAGATTAGATTTGCTAATGATTTGAGATGATGGACTGTTTGCTTTCTTCTTTCCTCAATGTGTGCATGCTACAAGGGGTTTCACTCTTACCAAGAGGCCAAGTGGGTATCAACATACAAACACAAAGCACCCCCCAAATGAGTAAGAAGATGGCAGGATTTCTGAGAAGACATCACATGTGCCCTGATTTTGGAGTTGAGATTTTTGTTTGTTACTGAAAGTGACCAACTGCTTACTCCTTAAGAGTGACCAGCAAAAGTCCTGGGGCCTGCCC